TTCTATATACACCGTATTTAAACATAGCCTCGATCTTAAAAAACAATCTACTAAATTGTTATAATTTTATTTAAAAAAGGCATCTATATCACGAACGACCCATATTACTAGTAATTCTAAGTTGATTATAATGAATAAAATATGATATGAGCTATAACCCCTTAAGCGAAAGGTCCTCTTTTAAATAAAGGCTCTGAAAGACAGACACTCTTTATATGCAGTCATCTTGTACTACTCAATTACTTGATATAAAAAGGCATTTGGTTAAGCACGCCAAAATATAAAGTCTGGTTTTGTGAATAGCTCAACGCCAATCACTTATTTCAACTTGAATATTTTTCATATCGTCTACAAAGTGTCTAGAATTTTACATCCGCCCGCATTTTTATCTTTTTGGACATGATTCAGTTGCAAGGATTTGTAGGCGTTATCGCTAAAGATAATTAATGTTTCTAAATATTTCATACATTCTTGAGTTCAAATTCATCCACAGAGCTTTTGTTCGGAAATTGTGACGTCACTGCTTCTTCCCAGAATGCTTTAGAGTAAGGACTATCCGTGTTCAGAGCCTGAATGCAATGTGCACAGCTGTATTAGGGATTTCCCAAAACAGATTTACTAAGCTTTTGGCAAAGTAATCGTAAACCTGCCTAAATTGGGCAGATAAGTGCACTTGGTATTCATGGAAGCACCGTTTTTGTTGTTCTCAAACACAATGCAATAACGTTTAAAAAAGGTGAATTGGATGGACGTAGTATGTACAGTAATCCCACAAATGTCGGAACTTTTAATGATCTAACCAACCACATCACTAAGTAGTGTCAATTTAGGAATTATTGGGTATCATGTCCACGCGTGACAGTTCTATTTTCTGGTGAGGAAGTCCCACACTTCAAAAATAGCAAAAAGCTTGACCGCCAGTCAATCCTTCACACCATTCCTGGACAAATAGATTGACGGCTGTCTTAGGATATTAACTTTTTTAGAATTTGATAAAATAAATTTCTAAGGAAATGAATAGCATGTAGCAAACTGCTATGAAGGATATGAATAGGCAAAGAAAGTTGATTAAGTGGGATTAGAGAGGAAGGACGAAAAAAATGTAAAAATATGCATTGAAAAGGGTTGTTTTCATAGGACTGTCGGATATAATAGATATTATTTTAGAAAGTGATTGAGTTAACGTCAAGACAAAGTGTGCTATATAGTACATTATATAAATTTTGGTCAATTCAACGGGATCTTGGATTGGTCGAGAACAGTGTACTATTAAAGTACACACGCACTGAAGACGTCATTCAATCTTTCGCGCGGTCTGATTGGTCAAAATGAAGACGTTATGAGATGAGATTATAAAAAGTGCCGCCAGAAGACAACAGAGTGCGCGCACTACCTATGACCAATCAGAGCGCACGTAAGATAAGATTGGCGTCATCAGTCAGAAGTAACGAACCATTTTAGAGCTGTTTTTTGATTGCTTCGTTAGAACAGAGCCTCTGTTTAGGAAATAATAACTAAGAAAATGCTATTCATCATTCAGTATTTAATTAAATATCTTAAATATCTACCAATAAGTATTTAAAGCAAACTTTGGGACTTTTGCTGCTTTTTTCAGTTTTATAGTGTCTTTTTTGTATGGAATATGAATATATGAACTTCAAAATCATTAGGATGAGTGTTTCCACCCATGGTTGCTGTTCTGGCTTTCTTTTCTGCAATTTTACTGACCTCCTCTGCAGGTAACCTTAATAGCTTTTTCTATTAACTTTCTTTGGGTTTCCTGTGTTCTGACTATAAAATGATTATTTTTCAACACATTTTTCAGTGTTGCATTCAGTCCCACACTCATTCTACAGGAATCCCAAATAGAGAAAAAGAGATGCTATACTGTCTTATACATAAATATATTGAGCCTAAGATTGTACCTCTTTGCATCTCATTAGATATTTCATGAATCTCACATTATGCATATATTTCAATCCTCAACCTCTTTTACAATTATTTACTAGGTGATTAAATTAAGAATATTTACACAGCAATTTATGATTTTTACTGTGCACAAATTACAAAACAATAATGAACCCATTCCACAGATCTTAGAGAAGATTGAAACTTCCGGCTTTTTTAAATTATAACCAACAGAGAGAGGAATTACCACAGAACACACAAACAGAATGAACAAACTCAAGCCAAATTGGAGTCATAAACTTGAAAGCCCTAGCCTAATGTTTTCAAGTTTACTCGCGCATGCGTGCCATTGACAGTTTCCCTTTAATGTGAGCATTACTAGACCATTGCTAGATAATAAAAGAAATACTTTTCAGCTATTATAGTAATGCAGATATATACAGACAGAAATATCACTTTCAATTCATAATATCAATTTCAATTTTCAATTTCAGTTTGTTTGCACTGATTTATAAGATATTTACATGCGCATTACATAAACAAGGTGAAATTAATAAAAGAATAAATTGTCAGAGACAGAGTGAAAGTGTATGTTGGCCAAAGGAGCAATAGCTTTCGAGTTGGTCAACATAATGTCTTTTTTTCTATTTGTTTTGTTATGGCTATAAGTATATCTTCACCTATAAAGTTCTAGCAATCAAGTTCCTAACAATTAGCGCTGGCACTTGACAATGTTGTTAGGAAAATGCTAACATATTTCTTCAAGTTGACTTAATAGACTCAACATATCAGCATAAGCAATCAATGTGTCAATCAATCATTCAATCAATACGAATTCGTGAATGTTCATATCTAACAGATTGGCCATCCAACCATATAATAATTAATTGTTTGAATTTATCATCAATTTAATTTTCCTTCTTATAAGACTGTTTTATCCAGTAAATGAATCTATATCACTCAATTAAGTAAATATTGATAATTTCATTAAATGTCTTTGGTCACTTTTATAATATCCTTGGGCTCCCTATGCATCTTTGTAACACAGGAATCCCAACACATGGCCAAGAGAATTTACTGACTGAAGTATAATTATAAGTATTAAAAACTGGACATATTAGAAATACTTTTATCGCTGTATGCTTAACAATAACTCAAACCACCATTTTGCTAAAGCTGATGAGAATTTTGTTTTATCAAGGCCTATTAAAAATGTCGAATCGCTTCGTATTTCCTAGCCAGGTTTACTTAAGCTTAAGCTTATAAACCAAAGAAAGACAAAAGAAATATCAAATAAATAAATAGAACTTGTAGGATTTTGTGTAAAATTACCCCATAAGAATAGGATAACGAAATGAAGAGACATCAAAATCGAAGATTAAAAATGGAATCGTCGCCATCTTGAAATAGCGAGCTTTCTATGCTTAGATATCATTTATTTGTTTGCATTCTTGGTATAAAACAAGGATTATCAGTTAAAAATATATTAGTGAATATATCCAAGTAAATTACTTACCATTTTGTATCAAAAATGTAGAGGATTTTCGAGGATTTTCACTTCTGTTGAGGTTAACCTTTAACCCAACATACATCATCTTATTGACGCGCGCGCATGAAGTGGAGCTTTCCCGCCAAAACCAAAGGGAGCCCGTGAACTTTTGTCGGGTTCAATTTGAATTAAAAATACATGGTTATTGTGACAATTGTAATTGTTTCAATGACGAAACGCAATATATCATCTATTACAAAATTCAGCAGCCCAGTCGAAGCTTGGACACCAGAAAAAAATATCTTCATATTTCATGTCATACTTCAGAGGAAAAAAACAAAAAAACAAAAAACAGACACAGGAAAAATCGCGCGATTTAAAGGTTGTACATTTGATGTAAATATGATGTAACTGTCCAAAATTCTGTAATAAATATGATGTAACTGTCCAAAATTCTGTAAATTTGATGTAATTGATTTCCATTAAATTTACAGAATCTTGGACACGTACATCATATTCACATCAAATTTACAACCTTTAAACCGCGCGATTTTTTCCAGTGAGATGGAGTTTCATAGTTCAACAAGCGTCTCCTTTTACGGCGTTTGGAGGATTCTAAGAATAAAGAACACTTCACAGCCTTCTGACTACGAGAGCTTGAGAACATTATTACCATAAAAAATGTCTGAAAGCATGTGAAATACTTTTCAGGTTTAAAGCGAGCACTGTTTAGTTGACACCAGTTTCTCATGCGCAGACTCCAAAAATAAAAGAAAGTAATTAAGAAAAAAATGTCTCCACTACAATAGCTCTACAAATTTGCATTTTCTCCACTGATTTGAAGCTAAAACTCCGCCAACAAGATCCAGCAGAGATATTACAATAGAGTTAAAAAATTTGAATCTTCTCCGGCGATTGGAGGCTTGTCAGCGGATAGCCCTCAAAACCCGTTTATTTTTTCTACTATTTTTATCGAGCACTCGTAATTAACAGACAATTGTAAATATAATCTTCTTTCTTAGAATACTCCAAATGCCCATTTAGGCTTAGTCTGTATTCCCAGAAGGTTTTTTCTATCAGGCCCTAGCCATAACAACCTTTATCTTAACAAAACGCGAGTAAACGCTTTAAGAGCGCATAATGGAAAATACTGAACTTGAACCGCACACATAGCTAAAATTATCATAGTACTAACAAACGCCTTGCATCTATTTAGCCTATGAAAAGAAAAAGCAACCGATTAGAAGCAAATGGATTTTACGGCACAAGTAACTGTTTTATTTGACGTTGGTTCCATGATAACATCAACTGCAATTCACGGATTTATATGAAAGCACCTCATCTTATGACTGATATGATTAAAAAATATTTAGCAAAGCGAACACCTAGAAAACGAATGTATAAAAACCTAAGTAATATTTGAACTTGAAGTAAATTGGTATATTGGGTCTGGCTGTCGTGATGGTAGACATTTTTCACGGGGATTAAATCGAACGCGCACGTAGTGTCGACGGCAACGATATTGAACCTAGATCATTGTATTGCAAAAAACCAGAACCCACATTTTCTGCTTAAAGATAAAATTAGCGACAGATTGACCAGCTGATACATTTTCAGAGCTTTATTTCAATAGATATATTTACAACCCCTCGCTGTTATTGGGGTTTAGATAAGATTTCTTTAAACTTTTATATACAGAGTGATTTTCTAGGAGTTCAAAAGCTGAAAAAGGGTAAATCTATTTCGTTGTTGATTTGCGCTGTAGTTTATTCGTGGCAGATGCGAATTCAAGTGTTCATTAAAAACAATAGCAATATCAACCACTTTGTATAATAGACATAGGCGAACAATTAAATTTAGATTAGCTTATTTGGCACCAGCTTAAAATAATAAATGCAATTTAACATTGCCAAAACAAAACGTCAAATTAGTCGAAAGGTAGACGAGCTGATTGAAATATCTGCCCCTAAGCAGCGTTTTATCACAAACAAGTTACCGTTTTTTTAAGAATAATAAAATGCGTAATATAGTGCGGTTTTGTGTGGAAAAATGGCTTTTTGCGGTTCAAACATAACAAGTTTATGATGCTGTCAGCTAACTATAGACAGTCAACCACACATATACATGAGCTAAATCGATTAAAGTTGTTGTCTTTTTAACAATTTGCCTTGTGGTTAACAAAACGCAATAAATAAGTCTTTACCATTTTGGATTCCTATAACTTGGCGTTTTTGATGAATTCCTGTGTCCTCTTTTCTCAATGGCGGAGTAAACAGCTTCTGGATGCGGTGCATGGTGAATGAATCCCCTTGTAGGAACGGACGCACAACACGTGCATAAGATGGCGGCAGGAGCTGTTGGCGTGGGCATGGCATAGCTGCGATATTTCGTAGGCCAGAACAGTTGACTTGGCACAAATGAGCTCACAAAGTGAGGCCCCTCGCGTGGGTGATAAGGATGGAAACTCGAAGGATGAAAATCATGAACTAGTTCATCATCTTCGTCGTTCGTAGCATCTTCGGAAGTCATATCGGATACACTGTGTTTTATCGAGGTTTCGCTCGCCGGACTGTCGGGTCTCTCTTCCTTTATATCTGAAATGCCAAAGGCCTCCTCTTTTCCTTCTTGTTGTTCTTCCACTTTAAGTCGTGCTTCTGCCGATTCTTCGGGACAGGCGTCGCGATGAGGAGAATGAATATTTTCCATATTTGCTGTACTCGCATAAGTCTTTCCCACATGGTCATGGCAAAAACACGACAGCTCACAGTTCTGGCGACTCAGAGATCTTCGTTTTATCCTTCTCTTGGGTCTGTATTTATAGTTCGGGTGCTCAATCATATGAAGTTCATTCAAAAGTTTTGCTTCCGCAAAGAACTTTTGTCTTTCATCCTCGGTGAGTTTTCTCCACTCCGAACCCAAAATTTTACTTATTTCAGAGTTGTGAAGCTTTGGATTTTCTCTTGCCAATTCGCGCCTTTTTTTGCTTGACCAGATCATGAACGCGTTCATTGGTCTCTTGATGTGTGTTTCGGTTGCCATTTTGTAAAGCAATTTCCAGTCTTTTGAGGACAAAATCACTTCCAAACGAACGACTCTCAAGTCAAAATGTAGAGCAAATTTGAGCTATTTAGGAGCTTGCCACTAATTAGGGTTTTTATGTCCCTATTCTATGCGGCCCGTGAGGTAAGCGATTAATAACTGTTTAACTTAAATCGCGAGGCTTTTATCATAAGCGATCAACAAAGGCTCTTTCAAATCGATTAAATATTTATCAAACTACTCAGCCAGCGTTCATCGAATTGATCTTGGGAATACACTGAGTGAAATCCGTAGAAAAGCAACTACCAATTACCTCATAATACTGAGCGAATCCTCACTTATTTCTATGATGTGTTTATCCCTTAGAAATCTCCTTTTATGTTTTATTAGTACGAGCGAAACGAAAGAAGAAAAGACAGTCATTTAGTAATCTCCGTGGCTGTCTTTTGTGTCGCAGCTGTTTGTAAATTGTTGCATTGAGGATTCTCGTTTGAAAAGGAACTAATGGCGATGTACACACATACTTGCAACACCTAATAATAATGCTTTGACTGCCTCCTCTTTGCTAGTCACTGTTCCATAACACCTAACAAAGCGCCCAGTCAGAATCAAACGTCAATTACAACTTTAGGGTTTGTTTTTATAAAGTAATATAGGATATGCATGAATCAATGTAGCCGCGGGGAATAATGTAATTCTCGGTAACATCAACTTAGTAAATCTTAACAAATCAGAAACAAACGAGCCGTTTTGTGAAAAAAGACATTATTGAGAAAAACGTCAGGGATTGACCAAAAAGGCGCCAAAAGGAAGTCCATAAAAAGAGGTTATTTAACTTTATATATTTAGCTCTTTGCTCAATTCCAGCAATTAAATATTTCGAATTTAATATTTTTTTGTTTTTATATTTTTGATAATAGATTTAAATTAAAGTTAAACAACTTCTAAATGTCTTCGGGTAGGAATAAGAAAATTGCCAACAATCTGCTGTTGATTCAAGCGGACCCCATTGAAAAAAGAATTGTTACTAATCGTTATAGCCGATTGTATGAAACATTTTTGATAGTAATAAGCCGAAGGAAATTCTCCTTTTAGAGGCATTAAAAATTCAACAATTACTGACTATAGACATGAGTACTTAGTAAGCTAAACTTAAACGAGTATTTAAGACAAATATAAAATCAAATTTTTTTTTTCTTTTTGGCGCTGATAGTGAAGTAAAACGTTCTTTGTTTCAAAATGGTAGTTAGCTGACAGGCATTATCACTCCGGGGGATTTTTACTTCAAAAAAACTCGCTTACTTTGAACTAACAGCAGTGTAAACAAAGACATTTTTGTAGTCTCTCAGCATGACTATACAATAACGGGGACAGTATAAACCTATATTAAACACATGAGCTCGAATTGTACGTTTACACCGCAGTTTTTATAAAGTTTCTACACCATAGAGCTCGCAACAACCAAATCATTAGAATTTACAATCGTTTCCCAATATCTAAATAAGTACTGGTTCGTCGCCTTCTTTTGAGCTTTAAAAAGAACAGAAGAAAATTAAACAATTGATTTCCTAACACTTCATCGTCAGTGCTAATTGTTCCCTAAGTATGCAAAAATTAGCTTTGAAGAAGTGAGTATGAGATTCTAAAAAACGTTTCAAACCTATGGAAGTGTATTATAATTTCTTCAGTTGAGTAGAAGGAAGTATTAAAATTCTGAAAAATCAAGTGTTTCGATTACTTGTAAAGCCAGAGTGAACCTTTTTGTTTCATTTGTGATTCCGAGGCCATATGCCATGGATGGCAGATGAAAATGTCAATAGTTCACTCCTCCGGTTCAAGCCCATAGAACAGGGATAGTCACCATGAATAAAAGCACTTTAAAAATACCAAAAAAAGGCTGCTAACTTTTTTGACGATAAATTTTGAAATAAAAGACAAAAAGGTTACTAAAAAGGCGATGGTGAAAATATAACACTAGACTTAGAATCACAAAGAAGCAAATGATTGAGTAATTATGCTTTGAAATTAAACTTTTTATGACCCATATTAAACAATATCTCCTGTGTTTGTCGTTAAAAAAGGATCGAAGATATCTTACTAAGCGTTCATTAGATGAAAGATAACGTTTTCTAGAGGTTTGATAAGAGTCTTTTTTTCTCTAGTTCGGCAAAAGGATTGAATGACGCTCTTACACTCTTTTTTGCTATTGTAAATGCGGAGTAAAGAGGACAATCTATAGTCATCAATAATGTTTTTTTCTTCACGAGTGTAAATTGCCCCATTGAAGTCACAAGAGACGTCACTAGCTAATTGTAAAACGTTCAGAATTCCAATAGCAGGTTTTTGCATCTGGGGCCTTGAAAAGCATCCTGTCGCTTGACATATCGCATAGAAAAGAACAAAACGTTTTTAATATCGACACTCGGCTGGATTTGTTCTCTACTGTCGACAGAAAGACTACAATTTACGTATTTGCACAACCACAAGAATGCCTTTGAAACAATGACACGTTGTGTTGTTAAGTTAATCGGTTTGTTTTAGCTTTTAAAGACGAATTTGCAGACATTTTTTCTATTTGGAAACTTAAACTTCTCTTTCAAACTGATTATTTAATTTTTDGGGGGGCCATATCAGTTTGCTAGTGTTTTATTTGTATTTTTCTCATTTTTCATTTGTTTTTTCATTTTTTAAACTACAGTTGCTTGGTTCATGTTTCAAGCAATTTTCATTGTTATCAACGACTGTATAATACACATTTCTACTCTATCACTTTATGTCATTTGCAAACTGATTCTGAACAGCGCTAAAAACCTGATTATATCAGTTGTATCATGGGTAATTCATGAGATACTCTGACTTCTGACTACTATTAAAATTACTCAAGAAATAATCATAAGTTTTATGATAGATTTAAATCTATTTGTATAGGAAGAATTTCATTAACTGAGTTTAAGAAACGAGCAACAACAATAAACCCTTTTAGCGATCTCTTTTATGCTGTGTTAGCCTCAAAACCATGTAATAAATTCTTTTATTCACAACAGCCCGTGCAAATGCAAGAAATCTGTGAGTATAGAAGACAATGGAAATAGTTTGAAATCTCACGAGTTTTATCTACATTTCTAATATTTTAGCACACAATTGAGGCTAACACAGCGTAAAAGAGATCGCGAAACTCAACTAATTGCACGGCCGACTCATCCATGACCAATAAGTGGTGACGTACGGACTTCTCACTCATATACTACTGGAGTACTGATTTGGACAACAAAACGTAACTACTGATAACTACCATTATAGAGTATTGTAAGTGTGATCATGATATCATTCTAGTTGAACTTCTCAATATGTTTCGGAAACATATTGTGGAGTGTGGCATGACCGCCCCTTTGTTTTGCCCATTTTATTTGAATATCAATAAGGGAAGAAGTTTCTCAATAAAAAAAGGAAATACTATGTTGTTCATTTTTGTTGATTGTATAAATTTAAACAATAAGGAAAAAGTACATGACTTGCCTCTGGCGAGGAAAGGATATTGCTTGTGAAGTAGGGGCTCCATGTCATGGTTAGTAATTTTTGAGCTCAATTGAAGAAAAAATATGAACCTCTTTACCCCATCTGATAAGAAATCTTTCCCGAAATCATTCTCATATAAACTTTTATTAACTCATACTATATTAACAATACATACAAAAAATTTAATGTAACTTATTTTCGATATTTAGATAAGATCATAATGCCAATGAAACTCGGGAACTGGAATAACATTTCCTCTGAGTTTTCGTGGTTCAGGGCGTTATATTATAGTAATTACTATAGAAAATTGCACAAAATTATAATCACAAAAAAATAATCACATAATTATTACTTTTTGTTCGGAGTGTTTCAGTTTTCTACAATTTCCTTTTGTTTTTCCCATATTAGAACTATTGTTTTTTTAGAATTGCCCAACATCTAAGTCGCCTCTTAACGCTCTTGCCTCTCTAAACTTCATTTTTGGATTTAGATAAAGGAAAAGCCCACATCTTTTCGTGTTAAAGCGGGGTACGTTCAGAAATCAATATATTTCCCTTTTCTCATGAAAGACAGTATTCCGGGTTGCCTGTGGAAGCAAAAACAAAGGAAGCCCAAATAGGAATCACGTGGTTTCAAGTGTCAGATGAACAAAACAAAAAGAGCGTGGAATTTGTTTCAAAAACACCATTTTTTTGTTGTTATTACAGCGAATACCGGCATTCAATTATCAGATGTTTAGTCTTTAGGTATGTAATGAACTGTTAAGTATATTTTATTGCTGTTTTTTGACATATATGGCTGGTTTGAGCATTATTTGTTGCATTTTCGATCTAAAAAGGTCGGATTCTGTGTCTTTTTGTCGTGTACCAGACCAGTTATAATGTTTTCAATTTTATAGCTAAATTTTCTTTACTTCGAGTAGACTAGAGTGTGTTTTGTTTTGTTTATAACAGTCGGATAATCACGTTAAACCTGTATAAAGTTTTGCTTTGGACCATGGACTTACCGGATTTTCTGGTTTAATTAAACAACAACACGAATGCATCCGTTTCTCTTGTATAAAACAACAGTACATTTTTCACTATGAAAAAGCGTTGTGTTGTATCGTTTTAGAAAGTCGTTTCTTGGACAGTCAATCGGAAATTAGTATGGGTAGGTAACTTAACACTTTTAAGTACTTAAAAGTACATTTTTAAAGTAGTACAGGTCGTACAAGTCTGTCAAGTGCACTTCGTCTTTTACATTAATGTAAAATGTATAATATCGATCGAAAAATACAATCTTTTGAGCTCATCTTATGTATTTATGAAGATATCAAACCAAATATTCAAGGTATGAAATTTGACCTGAAGTCTGATCTGTTGTTTTTACATATAAACTTATTAATGCAAAACTGTTTCTCACATTTATCACCATGGCATATCATCTGGATACAAAGTTGATTTTCTAGAAGTTATTGGCATTGGTTCATTGCATAAATTAGGCTTGATTTGGCTAACTACCAGCTACAATGAAGATAGTTACACAAAAGTTACTTGACATTATAGCTACAAATTACTTTAATATTTTAGGGTCTCATCAATTTTATTAGGGTCAACTTCAATCCTCAAATTGTTGGTTGCTGTTCTCAAGAAACCATCTAAGTTGTAAATTGCAACCAAAAAATTAAAATAATTATAAGTCTTAAGTTTAAATTGCTAATTTTGTTAAACTTTAGAACAGCCCATCGCTTTATGAATATCATTATAAATTAAATCTACATGTATTTAATTCTGTGTCGTTCTAAAAGAGCCAACATGAAAATTTCAGTAGTAAAGTGCTTCCAACAAAGCTATCTGGTCTGAGAAAAATTGCCAGTTATTCAATTGTAAACTTTTGGTTATTATATCTGAACTACCAAATTCTCATTTTCCACCTTAGGTTTTGCCTTGACATACATGTAATGTTGACTTTTAAAAACCTAATCCCTGGCCTGTCAGAAATCCCCTCATACAGTAACTATAGCTCTGGTATTAAAAATATACTTCTGCATTTTTGAACACAATTTATATATTTTGCTTTCCAAGCTCCAATTTCCTAGAACATGGTTTCTCATTTCTCTTTTTCACCTTCTCGAGTGATGTGGAAATCTGAAAAATAGGTCCCTTGTCCAATTCCCAAGAGATCTTGCGCCCAATTATACATCCAATCACACTCTGCCACACATTAAAGAGATAATGTTATCGATTAAATAATACTATTATTTTGACAGCGTTTCCCATAATGTTCACCCTCAATGAGCTGCCATCTTTCTCTGACCCATGGGGATACAGCGACATTGTGCTAAAAGTGCAAGATGAAAGATTCCATGTCCACAAAGCTGTATTAGCCATGAGTTCGCCTGTGTTCAAGGTCATGCTTCAGTCAGACAAGTTTAAGGAATCAAGTATGGAAGAAATACCATTGCCTGGAAAAAAAGCAGACCAGTTTTATGACTTCTTGTGTATGATTTATCCTTTTCCAGTGCAAATATCAGGTTAGCACATATTTTGAATTTTTATGGGTTTTTTTAGTTATGCTTACTAAAAGATTTGTTAGGGTTCCAATAGCTAAAATTATAGAACGATACAGGATGAAGTACTTGTCAAACACTGTAAAGACTTATAAAAGCAGGCATCCCAGAGCTCCTATATTTCTTAATTTCCTTATAATTTGTATAGGATCCTATAAAGAGCCTATCTTTCATGAAATCCTCCTATTTTTCCTATAAATTAGGAACTTTTATGGTAAATTTATTCACATTTTGTCATTTCTTTTTAAAACATGTTGCACATCCCTCATTATTGAAATTTTACTCAACATGGGGTTCCTGTGGTTAATTGCATAGCTTGTGGTTATCCAATTTAATGCACTTGGTGCTATTTCATGTTAATGTAAAGCAATGGAAGATGCTGAAAGTTTAAATACATCTTATATTGATTTAAAACAGATTTTTTTATTTCTTAGAATTAATGTAGCTTATTTAGCTCCTATAAAGCTCCTATATTTTGTGGGAAAAATCCTATATCTTCCTTTAGAACTTGGATAGTCTATATTTCCTATCAAATTTGTCTAAAAAGTGGCTGGAATGTCTGTGTAAAGTCAATGACAGCATAGATAATAAGTGAATTATTATAACTTTCTTTTTATATCAAATGGTGTCAGAAGAGGAGTGCCCTGTGCGTGATCTTTGACAACTTTTGAGTTGTGTTCAAAAAAAAGTGTGATATATGTACATGTAATACTCCATTTTACAGTTCCAGGCGCCATCTTGAAAGGTAGCCGAGTCTTTGCATCAAAGCAAGGCAACAGTTGAGCTTGCAGTGATAGATACCTGTGAATAATTGTCTTAGGTGTGAACAAAAGGTATCTATCACTGCAGGCTCAACTCCTGTCTCGCTTTCATGCAAAGGCTTGGCTACCTTTCAAGATGGCACCTGGAACTTTAAAATGGAGTATTTGAAGTTGTCATGAGTCCAAAATGCAAATGCAAATCAAATACTATACATACATGTAATACATGCACTTGGATAAAACATACAATAATGCCGACTCATACCCAGTCATTTCTCTCTATTTCATGAAATATGTATCTTCAGTACACTATTACTGTACTTACAGACAACCATGATGTCCAGAGTCTCCTTGAGTTAGCCCGTGAATACCAAGTAAACAAACTGATACATAAATGTGAAGAAAGACTACTACAGAAACAGAGCTCTGTGGAACTGATCCTTCTTGCTCAAGAGTTCTCTCTGAAGAGGTTAATGGAAAAATGTCTGAGCTCCCTGAGTAGAATGCAATTGCAAGAATTAAAAGGTATAGATTTTGACATTTCCATAGTGACAAAATAATGACAACACTGCTTTGCCTTAGGAATTTTCTGAAAATTGAATTCATTCATGCATTGATTTATCCATTACTCGTTATTCTTACATTTCTTCTGACTTATTCATTCAGTAAGCTTATTTTAAAATATTAGAGTGAGCAGGCTTCTTTACAATTCCCTGCGCCATCTTGAAAGATAGTCAGACGACCGTTTAGCGTGCAAATTATGATAGAAACCTTCTTTCACACCTACAGACAATTATTCACAGGTATCTATCATTGCACACTCAACGGTTGTCTCGCTTCGATGTAAAGGCACGGCCACTTTCAAGATGGCGCAGGGAACCATGAAGGAGACCATTCTTTAAACCTGTTAAACAAAACTTGATTATCAAAGTGTGATAGTTAACTATAGACAGACAACTAGACACAAAAAAAAACATCGCTAAGACATACTAAGATGTATTATTGTGTAATATCTATGTCACAATTTTCTTTTCTTGTTTATTTTCATGTTTTGATCATATCGATATTTATTCATATTTGTGCATTTGTTATCAATAGTACACCCAAAGTTTGAAGAAATAGAGACATGCCATTTAGTCAGCTTACTGAACAACAACATTCGCTGGCTCAAGGAACAACAAGTTAGGGAAATCCGTCAGCTGAAAGAGCAACACAGAACTGAGAAAGCAGGAGCCTTGAGTATTGTCAATGAACTAAATGAATGCTGGGGATTTAATAAGCTACCAATGAGAGGCTGCGCATGCGCGTCGTACACCAAGTCATGTGACATTTGTAATACAGTGCTAGAGAAATATGTTAAGACAAAATGCGGTGAACTGATTCAGGCCCTAACAGACTCGTGAACAATTGAGTCAAGGCCCTTTTCGGACAAGATATGTAACAGCAAAGTAAATTTCTAAAGTTTAGGAAGTTGAAGAAAAACGAAACTAGTTTTTGTTGCTAAAATATTGAGTACTCTGACATAAAATGAAATTTAGAAGATCTTTTGCAATCCGACATAAAGAAATATCAAATAGAACTCACCGTAATTGAGCACAAACAAAAGTTTGGAGAAATTTGCTGTGAACTCAGGGTTCTTTCTATTTGTCAGGACTGGTTGGCCAGGCCCAAAGAGAATCCCATTATAACCATTACTGTTCAATCAGAAGGTTCGATTTCTAAATTTAGTAATGCAAGTTAGTACCCCCCTCCCCCCAATAAAAATTATGCTCCGTGTTGCCTGAATCTCTCGACAAAGAAAAATGGTAATCGCCATCAAAAATTATTGTCGAGAATGACTGCACCATCTTTTTGTACCTTTGAACTGTTCAACAGAGCGCAATTCCGGAGCTCCCTATCTTCCCCAAAACAGTGTTGGAAGTCATCTGTGATCTCCTAAATACAATTTTTGTGAAAAAGAGGCCGCACGATGAAGGTTTCTTTGACGTTATCGCACTCGGATTCCAATGCAGCGATCCAGTGCTAAAATTACTTTTTACCGTACATGTCATGAATCGCATTACCATTTCGCGCTGCAAGCACATATATTGTTGTTGTTGCTGTTCGTCCATCATAAACGATGATGACCAGCTACATTGTAGCCCGACTTCATGCTATTAGAGTCTAGTATAAAACATTAAACTAATTCATAGATATTTTAGTAAAAAGTCTCGGCTCTTCTTGTCCGTGATAGACCTCTTCACCTCTTACGTTATGTATCGTATACGCAATGCATTGTAGGATATGTTTGGGACAGAACATGGCAGATTTCTTTTGTTTTCTCTTGAAACTGATCCCAGAATGCATTGAAAATCAAGTAGTGACGTAAAAGGTTCAGACGTCTATTGTCATTCAGTGGTTGTATTTACACTAAAATCCTTGGGGCATAGTAAGGGACCGGTCATTATTTAATTCGTAGGGGGGTTGGAGTAGAAATTGGAGGCCCTGAAATAATTTCTTGAAAAATAAGGGGGGGGGGGGGGGGGGGGGGTCGTGAATTTTTAAAATCGTAGTTTAGGGGCCGGTGAGAGTACACAAAATCAATATTTTTTTCAAATAATTGTTTATTACATTTGCCAAAATCTTACCCCCCTTCCCTACGCCAGTGATCTTGAACGAAGTAAAAGTACGAATTTGGCACAAGCTAAAGTTTTAGATAAAGCGACTCTCAATAAGCGAGTGACACATCAGCCGTGCGTCTTGACTTCGTACTCTCTCCCCTGACGGCTGGGCACGCGGACTTTGAAACGTGCCGCTCACAGTCCGTGACGTTGGTGTGTAAATTAGCATATGATACTAGCAAACACTGAATTTGATGTCATCACTGATGTGAAGCCTATGATACAACCCAATTAAGCGCTCTAAAAGCGTCTAGTTCATGCTTTACTGATATAATTGATTATACAAATACTCAGTCTGGGTTACCTGTGGAAATGTCAATTAATTAAAGGATATACATGTGTATGACGTCATCTTAAACAAGTAGTTCCTGGAAGCCGACATTTAGAAGGTAGCTGGGATCATGCAACGGCCCTATAGGCTAGATGGAACGAATCCAAATTGCTTTGTATGGTATCAAATACAACATGTAACACAAGGTAAGACTCCTGAATCGTTAAACACTTGTCTTTTTTTATTTATTTATAGGGTGCATGCATGTTAGAACTTAGTAACAGGCTAGCGAATGCTACTCTATTGGGTCTATTTTATCCTGCCTGCAGCCGAAGTACCAAAACTGTCGTTGGGTCTGTCTGCGAATCAGCGACGAAATTTCGGTTTCGAATTAGCCGTGATGACTCTGATTCTTCGCAAAACCTTTGGAGATGATGCACTTCATTTTTCTATGTTTTACTAGAGCGATATCACATAAGCAATGTCTTGCGAGCAAAATAGTATGATAATGAGGTGCGCACGTGATTATATGCTTCAGTGAACAGCTGAAAAGCATTATTTGCAACAGCTAATTTTTATTTCATTTTTATTTTGAAGATGGAAAATTTGAAAAAATAAACATCGATGTAATTAGTGTTATCCAATTTAACTACTTTTTGAATTGCAATTGTGACTTTACTATCCGTCAAGAGACTGTTCACTTTATCTAAAGTTGTCATGGACTTGTCGCACAAATCTTTGTCAGCTTCCTTCGCTTCGCGTACTACTCCCCTGTCTGTTTTCTTCTTTCTCTACTCACATTCGTTTATAAATAATTTTATAATTTTATGTTATTTTATTTTATTTTTATAATTTCGTGAGCACAAGGCTCTTCTCTGGGACCAAAGCGTTCAAAATTCGATTCCAAAGGTCTTGTTTCCCTTGGCTCATATCTATACTTAAAATAATATATCCTAAACTAGTTGTAATATTAGGCTTTCATGTTATATAAAACTACATTTTTTTCAGTGTATTCAATTAAATTATGTTTTGCAATTTTTACATCACGCCAATTAAGATTCGCTACCTCAATCACGCCAGCCATTTTATTGAGTTTCCGGTCTCACTATGTACTCCGCTGACCTTTGTAATCGAAGATTCTTTGGGTCTCTATCAACGCCCGTGATGTAGCAGGACTGAACGCGAGAGTAGGTTATTTTGCTTTTGCCATAATCTTGAAAAGTTGCTCTTTCATTCTTAGGCCATTGGTTCAGCTTAACCGTTAGCTGTAAATGTGATACTTGGGCTCTATGGCTAAATCTATAACTCAAAAAACTACAGTGTTTTTCCTATTCAACGGCGACTGCCTTCCTGAAACTAGTATAATTCCATCGGTATGTGGGCTCACTGGCCATACTCTGATTCTCATTCCCCTGTTCTGCGCATACCTGTCTTTGAATTAGATCATTCGCAGTCCGGTAAATTACTGTACTTATATAATAATATAAGCACAATCGGCACACTACAGACTTGATTTCATTATTAGTAATTTCAAGAAATTTTGAATACTTCATACTGCAATCGAAGACTGTAATGCATTGTTGCTAATGGCAAACTTCACGTTTACTGCGCTACAAAATTACCATTCTCAACTTAATTTATAAATTCCGTTGAAATTCTTGACAGATATAGTCACCCCGAAACCCTGAAAACTCCTTTCGAATTTATTTCGAACAGCGATAGGACGGCCACCAATCCATTTCAATCTTGGAATACACTCTTTTTTTATAAGAGATACACGCTATCTACATATGATGTCTTGTTAGATTCTATTATGTTTTCGTTTTTTAACTATCACTTTTGTATTTTTCCAAGGTCTGTCATCATTTTGGCTTGCTGCTTCAAGGAGACTTTGATGACAATGGATTTTACAGTCCTTCTTAATGTTCATGCCTATAAACACTGCGAATTCAACAAAGTTAAAACCTTTTTTAAGAAGGTTTTGCGTAATACTGGTTATGTAGTGGACGATGGTTATTTTTCATCCAGTTCTTTTCCAGTTCAAATAGATAATGTCAATATTAGAGTAGAAGTTCGGCGTGATATTGACCTCCTCTTTCAGCCATTTGTCTGTTTTTATGATCATCAGCAAATTTCCAAAACGTTGATTCTTGAAGAACTCAATCAAAAACGACTGAGAAACAGGTGCAAGTTTGATGATACTCCACTACTGTTCGTTGGAATCAAAGATGAAGACCAGAGTAATGAAATCAACTCAGAATCACAGTTGCAGAAACCAAGTGTGACGTTTTTTGAATGGTGTGTAAATGCAAGTGAGCAAGTCACTAGAACGATATTTCAGGAAATCGTACGCATGGCAGTGATAAAAACATTCTCTCACACAGTTTATCACCTACTCGAATACAGCTGCTTCTTCCAAGACCAAGATCAACAAAAGTTTTTTGAAACTCAAGTAACAGCAAGTTGGCAACTTGATTGGGAATCATTCTTGTCAGTCACTATTTTACGATATTTAGACTTGATCAGGGTAGCTATCTCCTACAGCGCATTGGATTTTCAATTTGAATTTAAATGTGGTGTCGTCAATGTCCTTTACATCGGTGGCAGTGCCTTATGGAATTCTTCTCAGTGGTTCCATTTGAAAAAACTATGTTGTTCCATTTTGAATGATCTTTACCCAATTCATACTTACCAACTACCATTTTCATCACCGAGTCATCCAGTTTCCATCTTACTTAGTAATAGAGAATCGTACTCAATCAATGAGACTTTAAAAATCCAAGAAATGGACACCTTTGTCAGAAGTTTAGTCGTGCGGTCGTGCAGTGGGACCTTAAGTTTGTCAGAATTACTATTACAGTTGAAGTCGTTACGTCACTTAGTAATTGAAGATACCGCTACTAATGTCAAAAACCTGACTTTTCCTACTCAATTTTGTGAAACGCTGAAACATTTAGTCCTGGTTAGTTGCAAACTAACTGAAGTTCCTCAAGCTGTGGGCAGTCTTATTCGATTAACCGTTCTCAATATTTCTAAGAATGGCATTAAAACTCTTCCTAAGAGCCTTGGAAACCTCGGGGAACTTCGTATATTTTTGTATGAGCTTTGCCCTCTTGAATTCCCACCAAAGAATGTTCTCAAGAGATCAACTCAAGATGTCATTAATTATCTTAAAGCTGTATCATGCGTTACAAAGCACAACGCTCTTCAGTACGATGGCGAGTCAGTTTCTCACAATGAATCAAAGCTTATTGTAGCTGGGCAAGAAGGCGTCGGGAAAAGTACTCTCCTCAAAGGAATGAAGCGCAATATCTGGGCAACTAATGTTAAGCCACCAGGTAAAACTGATGGAGTTGAAATCCAAACTCTTCAGCTTGAAGAAACTCGATTTCTTGTTTACGACTTGGCCGGAGATGTGGAGTACCTTAACACTCATCCCTTATTCATGTCATCGGAATGCCTCCATTTGGTTGTTTTTGATCTGAGCCAAATCTTTGTGGGTAAAGGAGCTCGCTCGGTTGACCAGCTCTGCAGGCTAGAGCTATGGCTTCAGATGATTGCTTCACAACACCCCAAGTCGTATGTCATAATCGTCGGCACACATGCAGATCATGAAAGAGTCACCAAGCAAGTACTTTCAATCGTTCGAAAGCAGATTCTTGAGTTGTTGGAAAATCATCGAACTCCCCACAAGGAATACTTCGACAAATGTATTCTTTGTAATGTCACGTTGATGCCACAAGAACTTCAAGAAATGCAAGCCAGTAGTATACTGGACGACGTTGAAGCTTCCAAAAGTTGTATCCCTCATATCCTTGGATACTTTGAGGTCAGCAGTGTTACCAAATATCCTCCTGCCATGCTGAGTCTGACCAATAAGAATCTCGAATCTTTGAAATCAGCAATTGTGTCGTCAAATCATTTGATAGCAAACACAGAATTTGGAATTCCAAAGACATGGATATCATTCTACCAAAAGGTGCTAGAGAAGAAAATGATGCCAACAGCGGTCGTCTCAGAAATTTTCATCGTGGCTGAAGAAAGTGAGGTTCATTCTGACATGGTAGCGTCCATGCTAAGGTTTTTTCATTCTCAAGGAAACTTTCTTTGGTATGAAGATATTCCAGAAATGAGAGATGTGATTATCACTGATCCGCAGTGGTTGTCCGACCAACTACGGACCCTCATCTCCTATCGGCCTTCTGTAAATGCTGTCTGTGATGGAATCCTCTACAAACCATCTCTGTCTTCAGTCTGGCCTGAAATGATAGAGGAAAATCGTCAGAGACTTCTAGCCCTTTTCAGAAATGTTGGCTTGTGTTTCACAATTTCTGAAGACAAGGAGATGTTTCCTTGCAATTTACCAATCGGTTGGCCAGATCGTCACAAGTGGCCTCCGCTTCCGAATAAAGATGAGTGCCAAACGAGTCTCCTGGTCACTTTTACATTCCTTCCTCCAGCTTTCTTTTCAAAGCTGATTGTTGAGGTGAACAAGAAGCGGTCTTCATTTCCAAGCAACGTGGAGCCAGTCTACTTTCGTTTTCATGTTCTGTATGTCACAAACAATCATAATAAATGCGACATTCACAACCACGAGTCCAAAGAAGATGGGGAATTCAACACCACTTATCATAAAGTTCACTACGAGATAATGCCCCATAATAATACCATAAAAGTCTCCATTCGAGGGCCTTCTCCTTGTTGTATGGTCTCTGGCGTTTGCTCCAGCATTGAGGAAGTACAGTCATGTCATTACCCAGGAGTAACTTTTGAGACACTCTTAATTTGTCCATTATGTGAGATTAACAAGGTAGATGGCCCTGCGGTATTCTCACTGACGTCAGCAAAGCATGAAAGAATATGCTCGAGAGCTTGGCATGATGTCGGCAACATCAATGACATTCTTCAAGGAAAATACAGTAGTCCAGAAACGGAGGAGACAAGAAAAGCTGTTGGTGATACTCTGGAAGACTATCACTGCCCCAAACTGTTCGTGGTTCTTCCCATCAACATCAAATGTTCGTCCTTGAAGAATCGCATTGTCTATTCCTATCTCAAAGATGGCTATGCTGTGCATCTACTGTGTGAATGTCCAGATCAGTGGCACTTTGTCGACTCTCCTGGTTTCCGTATCGCTAAGCCCAAAGAGTTCTTGGAGAAGTATGGCAAACACTTGTGTACTGTAATGAAAGTGATTAGCAAACTCGGCATACCGCTTCGTGCTGCCGCGGCTGCTGAACCCCTCTGCAAAACTGGAGCAGCAGTTGCATCGGGTGCTTCGTCGATTGCTAAAGAACTTGAAGGTTTTCTCCAGAACGTTTTTGAGAAATATCCACGGMTGAAGTCGGCTTCTTATCGAGATCTCGGAGACCTTAAGATGCCTTCAGGTCTTCAACGAAGTGAGCTTGCTAGGTTCTTGGAAACTGTTGTAAAGGGACGAGAATTTGGTCCTTTGGTGTTCACGTACGTCGACAAGTGCGGTGAGTGGTTGTGGCTTTGTGAAGAGCACAATAGACGATTTGCCATTATCAACAAATAACAGCTAAAGGTATGTATATCAATTATTTTTTTAGATTTATCTCATTCTTAAAATCGAAACTTGTTTTTAATTACACTTGCTTGACCCCATACCACATTCAGCTGTTTCGGATGTTCCACCAGTCTGCAAACTATTTCTTAGTGGAAAGATGTTATTTTATCTCTTTGAGAGAAGTTCTTTTCAGTTGAGTACGATCGAGGAAGAATTTTTTGGAACAATGCTGCTCAAACCTTGGATTTGTTGCTTTTCAGAATGATAAAGCCAAACAACAGATCGATCAGCCGATAAATAATAAATATATAATGGAGAAGCAACCAAAAAACAGTTCGTTATCAACAAATCAAGCATAATTACATGGGCTTCCTGTGGAAGACCATGTCTTAAAATGCTGCTGGTTTTTGGTGTTGTTGTGATTTTCCTGCTTCAAAGTGGTAGCGCCCGCGATTTCGACAGTCTGCAGTCTTCGTTTCAAAAGCGATCGGCCTCGTGGTAAAAACTACGTAGCTTCGACGACCTTGAAGGTTAAAAGGAGTTGACAATGAAGGAAATCAAAATAAAAGATGCTCAGCGTAGTTTTCGGANTATCAACTAGACTATTGTCTAAGCTACACTGGTACTTTATACATGGTAAAAATTATTAGTAGTATAGATGGATATAAATTTTGTAYGGGACTTTTGAGAGTTTTTGTGATATTTATATCACAATAAATAAAGATCATTTATCTTTGTTGATTGCATTGGGGTTGATATTATTCACTGTATTTAAACTGCTCATATAAGGTATTTGACTCTCATGCTAGAGAAATATAGAAAAAGTCATCCACAAGGGAATTTGTGCTATTTCATGTATTGTCTAAAAACAATTTGGTGCAGTCCTTTTAAAAGTTTAAATGGATTTACAGAAACATTGAATTAAGGCATAAAAATTGCTACTGCTCATAGCTATAGTGAACAATCAAACAGCTGATAAAAACAATATAGCAGAATCACAAAACATTGTTGAGAGTTGTTTTGCAAAATCCCTTTATTCTATTTTTTATTTGATCATTACAACCTGCAATATTTATAGGACAACAAATACATTTACATTGCAATTGAAAGACGTGATTCGCAAATATGCAACTTCTCTAAATCTGAACTGTTTCTGAAACACAGATTTTTAATACTCAAATAAAAAATAACMTTGCTARAAAACAAACCTTCATTAATGGTTGYATGGAAAAGTAATAAATMAAATATTGMTGAAAATAGATAGGCTYCAGATTTTATTTTTTCCATGAAAATGCATCTCAATTGGAAATTGCTTCAGGAAGCCCATGTAAGCGCTCTCTGAGCGTCTAGTTCTATATTAATTAATGCGTGTTATCAATACAAAGGAGACGTTGAAATTATTATGATCGACGGATGTGTATTATAGGTATTAGAATATTATTAGAATATAGACTTGTAACTAGAATGAATGCTCTGGTTGGTCAAAGAGTGATTTATTCGTTGGTAAGTACACGCTCGCGAGCCATGACTAACTTTCTATATAAGGGTTTCATTCCTTAGAGCAACGCAAAAACACAATTCGGTAGAACAATTAAAAAATACAAAGCATTTTTTAGATGAAAAATTCTTCAAAATCCTTACTTTCTATAACTTTGGAACGAAAACGTTTGCTTTGGCTTTGGAAGCGATTCACTCACAGCGAGTTATCAAAAACATGCATCCAGACAACCAATTGCAATCAGTATTTTGTATGACGTCAAAATCAATACTCAAAAATTTTCTTGTATGTTGAATAACCCTTGAATTGAGCATATATTAAAGCTACGACTATCAGCCAAGATCTGAAGAAAGCCCTTGTTTCTTGGTGTTCGCATGGTATGGAACACAACTTCCTAGAGGGAAAGGTATTGCTCTGAATTATGTTTAGATAATTGTTTTAAAAAAAAACTTCAGTTAATAACTACAGTGCAATGCACTGCGAACATGATTCTTACAAACAGTCTTTTAATTTTCAAATCTTTTTAGTGAAATATTGCTCAGTTAAGGTTTGTCCAAGTACCGTTTGTATATAAATTATCAATCGACATGCAAAGGCTATATTAATTCCGATTTAGAATACAATGTAAAATAAATACCTTGCACAATATAGTACTCAATTATAATGACCCTTTATTCCCTAGAGTTTCAATATTAACCAGTAAATTATACACTTAAACGTACCTCACTTTAGGTAATATGTAAAATTTCTCAGAGTATCTAAAATTACGATCTTCAAAAGTACAAGGTTTGTACTGGTTTTTCTTTTCCAATTTTTTGATCAATTGTGTTTTCAATTGAATTGTCTTAAATAATATGTCTAGTAGTCATTCAAACTAACAATTTAATAGACATATTCTGTGCACTTATACTTGACTTGAGAATAAGATAATAGGAAAAGAATTGCTGAACTTTAATACAACCATACTGTTTTCTATTTTTCGCGGATTTATAAGTGTTTAGTTCATATAATTCAAACTTTGTATATAAGTGAAACAGTGTTTAACGATCCAGACTAAAATTGACTCCTTTCGGATGGATGCTTCTTCAAGAGAGCATATGCAAAAAGAAACGAGGCATTGAATCAACCAATCAGACCGGTCGTCGATCAATATTTCTTATGACTTCAACAGGATTTGAATTGACAAGATTTTGCTGTAGAGTTACAGTACTTCTTAGCAAGTATCAGGATTATAGGCTTCTGGTTTTCGCAGACCATATTGCTCTTGAACTGCCTTCGCTACATTGCTCTTATAGTAAAGTATGTTTTCTATCGAATTCAAAAATGGTTGTTCAGCAAAAGGTGTAAAATTCTCGTAAATGCAAACTTCACGTCGTTCGCCTCCATCGACTACATAATTTTCCTTTCTTGTCCGCTCTTGAAGTAGATCAACAAGGACCAATCAGGTGCCGTGTAATATGTGCGCGCGTTTGTGATTGGTTGTCTGACTAAAAATAGATTATCGGGAAATCTGATGGAGTCGATATTATTGGGGAGATGGACACTTCTGGTTATGCACTTCTGGTAATCATTTATTGTTAAAAAAGTAGACCGGCATTTTAACCGCTCGGCCATCCTTGCTCCCCATAAGAGTAAAACAGGAAGGATACAAAAGAAAAAATATCTGAACCAAAGACAAACAATGAACAGTAAATGAACATACAGAAATAAGCAAACAAACAAAAAATACGTGACACTGATTCATGAAATGCATAGTTCGTCGCACTGCAGGTAGATATCCCACACTCTGCTCAGTTCCAATTTCACAGTTTCCCTAAGGCAGGGAATTAGTACAGGGCTTGGAAAACTACATCGAACTCAAAGCCATGCTCCCTTCTCTCCACTTCCATATATGGCAAATCCTACTTACGACGTCATTTTAATTAATGCAATGTTTTAATTTTCTATCACCATAGCAACACCATGAACCGATCCAATAACAATTCTTCGCATGCCAACATGGCCCGTCCGTCGGGTTCGTACTATACCAAGGAATGGGTCTATGCTGGTATTGGGCTCTACGTACCATTAAGCATCTTAATCACGCTGGGCAACATGCTGGTCATTGCCGCGTTTTTCTCGACTCCTAAACTCAAGACAAAAACTAATTACTTTATTGTGTCGCTCGCGTTTGCCGATCTTATCGTCGGCACGTTTTCGGTTCCGATGTGGTTACGTAGTCTCATTACCGAGGACTTTGCGAACCCTGTTTATGAGTTTTATTTGTCGGTCGATATGTTCTCGGGGATTTCGTCTATCATTCACTTGGCTTGTATTAGTCTAGAGAGATGTTATGCCATCGTGGCGCCGCTGAAACACATGAATATTAAAAAAGGTACGTAAAAACATCCCCACCCCACCCCCATTACTTGCACGTTTGACATTTTAACCTTCACGTGCGGATTTGTGTTATCTAGTTTGATACCATTGTAAATAGTGCTTGATATTAAAATATATAACGTTGAATAATGCATTACTGAAAAAAGCTCGATAAATCTATTGTTATTTTCTCGTTCCAGGCAACTTTTACATTGCTATATTCATATCATGGGTACTAGGAATTGTTGCACCATTGCTCAAGCTATATTCTGGGTTACACACGATTTTCATCTCCACTTTTAACACGTGTGCTTTCTTCTTTGCTCCATTGGTTGTTATCCTCTTGGCTTATGTCATTATATTTGCATCAGCAAGAAAGAGTATGGCCATTCGTAAAGAAAAGTCCATTAAAAAGGTATTGTATAGTGGTGTAATGCTGTGTAGTGCTGTGTGATGTGCTGTAGTGCTGTGTGGTGTGCTGTAGTGCTGTGTGGTGTGCTGTAGTGCTGTGTGGTGTGCTGTAGTGCTGTGTGGTGTGCTGTAGTGCTGTGTGGTGTGCTGTAGTGCTGTGTGGTGTGCTGTAGTGCTGTGTGGTGTGCTGTAGTGCTGTGTGGTGTGCTGTAGTGCTGTGTGGTGTGCTGTAGTGCTGTGTGGTGTGCTGTAGTGCTGTGTGGTGTGCTGTAGTGCTGTGTGGTGTGCTGTAGTGCTGTGTGGTGTGCTGTAGTGCTGTGTGGTGTGCTGTAGTGCTGTGTGGTGTGCTGTAGTGCTGTGTGGTGTGCTGTAGTGCTGTGTGGTGTGCTGTAGTGCTGTGTGGTGTGCTGTAGTGCTGTGTGGTGTGCTGTAGTGCTGTGTGGTGTGCTGTAGTGCTGTGTGGTGTGCTGTAGTGCTGTGTGG